GGCGCCTGCTGGCGCTTGTTGGCGCGAGTCTGGGCGGGCGGCGCGTTGCTGTCGGGATCACGTAGTGGGGCGGACTGAAGAAAAATAATAATTATTATTATTGATCCGATTTTTGTGGGACCCCGGGGTCCCGCCAAATGATTCAATTGACCATCGTTCAACCGAAGAGCAGAGGTTGACTGTGTTGGCTTTTCAAAAATGTTACGGCCCAAAACAAAATTGCAAGAGGTGAAGAAATAAGCAAAACCCCGCGAGCCACATAAGTTGTCACCACTGCCTCGTCAAGAAGGGCAGTTGCCTGACGTTTCAGGCAACTGCCCTTCATCAGCATAGGAAGATTTAATGATAAATGTGGCACGTTCTTGTTTCATATGCACTGTATGTGTGCTTTATGTAGCGCAACCAAAATAGCCCCTTGAAAGTTGCATTTACCCGTAAATTGTACAATGATGCATTGCGCAGTGCAGCGTGTTGTGCGAGACATGTATACAGGACAACCCACGTATAAGATACTCGACTCTTATAATAAGGGAGGACAACAACACTTAATTCAAAGACTCTGCACGTCTCCCACCAGTCTCAATCGACTTGGTAGAGCTTTTAAACTCTCTTTTGATGAACTGTGTTCGACAGAACCGGCCTCATTTGCGTACGACATTCAGCGACGCGTAAGATGAAGTTGTTGATATGGCGGGGGGGGGGGGGGGATATATCACTCGAATCCGTGGGGCATTTATAAATGGATGGGACCTGTGTACACACGACGCAACGGAAATTATTCACCGAAATTGAAAATGCGGCCCAACATCGCAATGCCAGGACTCCGACACATCGGTAAAACAAAAAGTGTCGAGAGACTCGGTGAGGCATATTTTACGAGAAAAGGTGCGACATTTATACAAAAATCAGGGTCTTCAATAAGTACCTACGAAAGTAAACGTTGCAAAGCCACGTGCGTACCGCTAACATAATCAAGAGGCACTCGCGACTCGTCGGCAAATTTCTCACACGAATGTTTTATTTTAATCGTATATATTTTAAATGCTGAACGGCAGAAACATGCTTCCATATTGCCATTATTGTTCCGGTTTAAAAAAAAAAACACAAAAAATAAACTTTGAAGTGGTTTTTAAAAACGTTAATTACAATTTAACAATATACACTTAACAAACCAACGATCCATCGCCGCGAGCAAAGGTAAGAATGAAACAGTGTAATGACGCGCAGAATCCGGAAAAGGAGCACATTCCACCGCCACCACCACCGGGGATTTGCGCGTTCACGCCTGCCGCATCGGAAAGATAAATATGATCAAAGAGAGAGAGATATTAGGAAATACACACGCCGTTGGTTCTGAACTGTTACGAGACATTCATTTCCCCAGCCTCTGCCACACATTCCACCTGAAACACAAACTAAGGAAAAAAATCAATGTTAACGCTGGCCCGGCTATACAGCACGGCAACAACCCCCCCCCCCCCCCCCCAAAGACGATGATGGAGAAAGAAATAACGAGGCGACGGAGACGGACGTCGACCGCGGCCGACGCAGTTCCTCCACCAACTTTCAAACTTCCCCCAGCCTTGCTGTGAAGCCCCGTTTTGTATTTTCATGCGCAGGGAATTCGGGCGGAGCGGCGCTGCCGATGACGGAGAGAGGGAGAGGAGAACGCCGCACGAGTCGTGCCAAGCTGCCGTCGGGTCCCAGCGGTTACAACAGTTCAACGCACGCCTCCGTGGAATAAAACTTCGCGGCTCATCATCTCTCTCCCACATCCCCCCTCCACAGGGAACTCACCCGCTGCACGAAGAGGAAGCCTTCGGCAAAAACCGTGTGGTAGCGAACTGTGGGTTGTTGTTTTAGAAACCTCTCGCGCAATCTCAGGCCCTGAGCAACGGGTTTTCATTCTTCACTTTGTCCTCGGGAAAAAAAAAAAGTTTTAATGGGGAGAGAACATTTCGCCTTCCAACAAACACTTGCCGGCATGAAAGGTCTCGTACATACGTATCTACTTTTAACACGTAGGCTTTCGCAACGAACATCATCCCGAATATAGGTTTTTTTTGGGTTAGACCGTGTTAATATAAACGTGTCGTTAAACCCGCCACCACCCGACACAGCCAATTAGTAAGGTTTGTCACGTGAATAGAACATGTTGTGGTTTGGCTCTCCAACACACAACCGGTGTGCTGTACTAGTGACGAATTGGCACGTTCTGTTTGCGTGACAAACCGTACTAGTTGGTTGTGTCGGGTAGTGGTGGGTTTAACGACGCGTTTATACACATGCGATTTAACCCAAAAAAACCTAGATTGTATGTACGCATGCACGCAAGAACTGGCCTTGTGTAGAGCTTCATGAAGCCGACCACTGCTGCAGTTCTGAGCAAAGCGCTTCTGAGACGCAGCGCAGCGTCCCATCACTCGCCGTTTCTTCCCGGAATGGAATTTGTCGGCACAGTGTCACCGAAAGGATCAACTTTTCGTTGCATGCACACACACCGATGGTAATTTGTTTCGTGCATCAAATATTCTACAAACTTGATCGGATGGACACATGATCAGGTTTAGTGATTCCTCAAATCAGAAGTCAGACAACTTCTTTGCCTAATAATTCAAATATTTCCGTATATATGTGTGTATGTGTGATTGTGTAAAGGTAAAGGTGAAGCCCCGCAATTACTTCCTCGTGCCACTGCTGGCAGAAAGGCCTCCACAAGAGAGCTCTCCACAGGCAGATCTAGAGGATATGTTTGACCAACTATTCCACGCTGGCTGGACGTAGTGGAAGAGATAGTCACATGGGAATTGAACTTCTTTCGCCCCATACGTAGCCAACCGTGCGGATCACCGATGCGAGGGGAAGGACAACACTAAACAAAAAAACAGCACGTGGCCTGCCCATCGGCTGTGTGTGCGTGTGTCTGCGTGAATACATATTGTAAAACTATTGCAATTAAACAGGCTGGTCTTTAAATAGGAATGTGGAATTTCCACCACTGGCTTAGGATGGCTAAGGGATATGAGCAATGCCATATGCTTGTTTGAGCACTGGGAAACTTTAATAATGGTGTACCAAGTTATAAGTTGCTCGCATGCCGCATACCAACAAACGTTGTGACTTAACTTAATGTGGCAATACCATTATAATAGTTTACTCCGTAAAAAAAAAACATTTTTCCAAGGAGGGTTATTGGCGACGATACATTACATCTGTCGAAAGAGACGTTAGGGCAGTGGCACGTGTTAATACCTCAAGGGAAAAAAATACTTGTGAAAAAAATCCACGTAACAATTTAAGCAAACGCGATTCAAATAAAAAAAACGACGATGCCAGGGCAATGATCACAAGAGACGTGGCAGACAATTTGTCTTCAAATGCGACCTTGCAGCGATCGTCCAAAGGTGACTGGAGAATCAATGGAGCCACGCTAGCTCCGATTAAAGGCATTGCACACAAAACTGGATGTGATATCAAAGCTTGGCTGTGCTCGGTTAAGTGTCAATAGCGCCGCTACTCGCCAAAAAGGTTGTATCAGAAAACCCACACAGAGAACAAAAAATGACACTTGCACCAAAAGGTGGCTTCTCGATATTAATTTACACATCCACAATAACAACCTTCCACCGACCACTCGCACAGCACCCCCTTCAACTTCAGAGCTTCGTGCAGACAGCTTGACCTCATATTGTGGCACAGCGCACACCGGGGGCGCACGGAGCCCCGTTTGGATGGAAGTAAAATATTTCATCGGAAGGAGATAGTTTCCGAGCGAGTTGCACTCACCCAACATGTACCCTCCTGCCAAGCCGTGCGAGTTGCCCGGCTCATTGCAGGGCAGCAGTCAATCTCTAATCGAGACTCTGCGCTACAGCGGTGAGTCATCAATCACGGCATGCCTCCCCCAACAGGGCCTTAGCCAAGTGGGTGGGAACGACAAAGATCCCCCCCCCGTGTAGCCTTAAACAGACTGTTGGGGTGAGTGTGGTGAGTGAGCCCTCTATGAAGGCCGGAATGCCACACGGCCGCCTTTGTCTCCCAAAGAGCGATGTTTACACATCGAACCAGGTACTCATTCGAGGCTCAAGGCTGGTTCAGATAATCGTTACTGGTGTTGGGCGTGAGCGGGAATCGAACTCGGGTCGCCGGATTCGTAAGCGCAGTGCGCCAACCTCTACACCGCCGCTCCCTGACTGTGGAATACCACCAACCCTCCACTCCTGACTATCCACCACCCCCCCAATCTAGTGCCGTGTTGGCTCCGGGATCCGCTAGAATGCACGGGCGAATGTTTAAATAGAAGGGTGTGCTGTCAACCAAGGTGTTTGAATATCGTAATGCACGCGGGATTCAAATGGCGTACAACATACGGGGGGCATAAATACGGGGGAGGGGCGGTTTATTTGTAAATATAAAACTTTGATCGGACCCCCTCTAGGCTGCCTAATACATCTGGCTACCGCCAAGCTCTGAGATTGTGAGCCACGTGAACGCCGGAAAAGGATTTCGATCACAAAAAAAACAAAATTTGTTCTCAAAAAAACACAGAATTAGAAATTAACTCTCAGGTCGAAGCTTGTGCAATGACCACCGTCACGTGGTTAAACAGCAGGAGTTAAAAACTAAACTTGAAGCCTTTCAGTTGGCCACATAATCAGTCCGCGTAATCTCCGGTTATCATGAAACGGCACGCAAAAGCGAGCAGCTAAAGTTGCGCGTGCTCGTGAAAAAATTTGGCAAATCCGCCTTTGTCCTCGCCAGACCTCACCGCAGAAACGGCGACGACACACCCGAAATTATTTCGCGTAACATTTCCCACTATAATTACAATGTTCCTTTAATTCCCTGATATATATATAGTTATTTTATTATTGTTGTTGCTAATCTCCCGGCTGTTACCGGGGGGGGGGGGGGGGGGGGGGGGGGGGTGCCGTAACGAGCGAATACCCACTCACGAGTTGGTTTGTTTTTCTTCGCCACCGCCCGCCCGCCCGCCCACCCGCCCGCCCGCCCCACCGGCGTCAACTTCCGCTTGCAAGATAGACCGGGAGCGGAGGCGGCCGCGTGTCACGGCTTGGACATTTCGGATTTGCTGAGCGCGATGGCGAGCTCCAGATCCTCCTGCTCTTGCCGCTTCAGCCGATCGAGACGCTCCCGCTCCGCTCGCTCGCTCTCCCACGTGGCCCACGCCATCTGGTCCGACTCACTGCCGAACTGCTGGTCACAGCGCGCACACGCGCATACACGCATACACACGCATGCACACGCGCACACATACAAAAGCACAGGCGAGCGCACACACAAACACAATTATGCATGCGAGCGAGCGAGCGAGCACGCACGTGCACACGCGCGTATGATAGTGTACCCGCACGTGCATAGCAGTACACGCACACACATACGTAAATACGTAAGCGTACACAAGCGCACACACACACACACACACGCTCACATGCATGCACGCATGCCATGTTGGTACACGCACAGACGCACAAGCACGCAGACACACAAGCGCGCACACGTGTATTCAGGCGCGCATGTATACACACACACACACATATACATAAGCTTCCACACAAAAACAGGCACATGTACACGCAAGCATATGCTTGCAAATACATACGCACATGCGTGTATACAGTCCCAAGCACACACATCCATGCACATAAACATGAACTTGCAAACACAAAGACTACGTCGCCTACACTGGCTGTCGGGGCAGACACTTACCGACTGTGTAAAGAGGCTCTTAACAGCACATGTGGGGGTCGTGTGGGCAGCACCACCACCGCACACCTTTGTTTCCCCAAGTGCTGATATTACACACTGCACCAGGTACTCAGTGAAGGCCGAGTCGGCCTAGGGAAGGCCCAGGGTCAGTTTAAAGAACCACTGGTTGATGTTAACTGTGGCAAGGAATTGAACTCAGACCGCCGGGTTCGTAGCGCAGTGCGCTAACATCGACACGACCACTCCCCCCACACACAAAGACAAAGATCCCCCGTATAGCCTTAAAGAGACTGTTGGGGAAGGTGCTGTTAGCGAGCCCCTATGAAGACCGGCACAGCACACGAGGGGGTGGATGGCCAGCACCACGCTCAGCCGCCTTTGGCTACCCAGTGTGAATGTTTACACGCCGCACCAGGTACTCATTTGAGGCCGAGTCGACCTAGGACTGGTTCTGATCATCGTCACTGGCGTTTGCCGTGAGTGGGAATAGAATTCGGATTGCCCGGTTCGTGGCGCAGCGCGTTAACCACTGTCCCATCGCTTGCGCACGCGCCGGGCGAGCACACACAGGCATCCAACGGGCGGTGAGACGGGCCAGCGGTGGCAGCAAGTGTGCCAGGTTCACGGTTCGAATCCATCGGCTACCCCGATTAACACCGCCGCAGGGTGACATCAACGGTGACGGCACGTGCCCTCTGCTTCGCAGCGGACGTTAAAAGATCACGTCACGCGATTCGCTGCGCTGGCAACTATGGCCAATATTTACCGAATGTGAAAAAAAATGTACCCACAAATTCCTCGATTGGAATAACACGTAGTGATCAAATTATTGCCCTCTGTTGCAAACAAAATAAACTTTGGCAGGCCCTTCCTGAAAATGGTCATGGGGCTCGATGAGACTTCCCTTCGTTAACGAGCGGAATCGTAACAATAATGATCAAACACACACAGGCATGCACGGACTATCACTCCCAGCCACATACCACTCACACTGTCAGGCACCGCCATCATTCACCAATGCACTTATGGAGCCAGGGTAGTGCAGCTAAATGGGATAACGCATATCTGCGCTCCCTCTCTCTCGCGCATTTGTGAAGAAGGGTTCTCCGCGCTACAATATTGCCAGTGATTATAACGCCGATACGCTCCTTGAAAATGTTTTCATACTGTGCATCTCAAAGGCCAAAATGAGTCCAACTTTGCAAACCTGGATGGCGTTCACTGCTGTTGGCAGTCAAGAACCAGAGGTGAAATGTAACACAGAACAGCCAATCTTCCCTTAACAAACATTGGTCGTACTCATTTTAATTCACCCTAAGAGAGACGGGCGGGCTGACATGAACCACCAAGGAAGATTTTAACTTGCAACCATTCCATTGTGTATTCGGACACTCCCTTCACAGTGCCGCGTCAATGAATATCAGATATATATATTTTAATGTGTTTCGTTTGTTGTCCTTCCGCCGTACCTCCGATTAGCACGGTTGGCTACGTACGGTGCGAAAGAAATTCGAGGTATATACACACATACACCTTCATGTCGTATTCTCTTGGGACGGAAACTAGAATTGAGGTGGCCGAAACATCACATCGAAACGCCACAGCAGAGCACTGACCCGATGGTACTGCTGAGATCCCGTGATCGAACCTGGCTTCAGCTACCCGTGATTGACACCGTGATCTGAAGCGTACCGCGAGGAAGCAATGACTGGGCCAGGTCAAAAAACTAAAATGTGGCTTCTTTTCATAGTAACTGGTGAATTGCAATTCCATGAACGTGTGCATTCAGTGTGATTGGCACGGGTGTGGCCCCTAGTGTTACTTCCTGCCTTTAGAAACGTGTGTATGGGGGAATTTGGCTGCTGCCATTTTCAACAAGATAAGGGGCTTGGTTGAGCTATCATGTGGGACAGGTCGCTTCTGAAAAAGGGCTATAAGGCTCAGTGGGCCTGGTAAAATAAATAAATATTTCGGATCTTTTAGTTCATCTTCTGTGGCCGTCTCTGACACAGGGTGGTGCACCGCTATCTGTAAAGGTTCCAAATGGATATATTTGTTTCGGGAGGCGATGCCGAAAAACATAATTGTCACGATTGGTCGATAAGGCACAACAACAAAAGACCGCGATTCAACTTGAAACACGGCAAGCAAAATAACAATGCGGTTTTTAAGCGTCCAGACAGACGCTATAAAACCGAAGGGGCCAAAACGAAAAAGACGCCGCTTCTTAATGGACTCCTGGCTGCGGCTGAAGAACGCCGCCTGACTTATCCCACCACTTGCCGCTCATCAGATTCCTCCGGAGGGGGAGACGAGGCAAAATGTGTTAATCTATCTACAACTTTTCACATCGCCGCAGACGAACAAATGTTCAGTCAGGTGCCAACGACAACAAAACGAGGATGGGGGGTGGTGGAGGAGGGGGGGGGTGGTGGAGGAGGAGGGGGGGGGCGAACGCAAGCGCTGCGGAAAAAAAACATGTCCCGGCGCGTCGTGATGACTCGGCAGCTGCAAATGTAATTTATTTTCTCCCCGCACTTTGTTTGAATTGCATTTGTTGTTGATGTTTGTACGCATCTTACGGTGCTCACATTTGCCGAAGAGGAGACGGAAATAAAAGGCGAGAGTTAAACACGCGGCAAGGTAACGGGGGAGTCGGCGGTGGAATGGAACGCGTCCGAGCAGCACGTCCCCCAAGGAGATGGATGGATGCATGACATCAGCTCGTCTGAGTGTAGGTACTCGGTGAATTATTACATCGTGGTCGCTGGCGCCCCCTTTCGATAGCCCTTTAATCCAGCAGTGGATTGATCATGCCTGATGTTGCTGGCGACGACGATGATGCATAGTGCATGTATGTGTGTCGCAGATGAGCAGAAAGATTGCATGAGGCGGTCACTTAATACCAGTATTATTTTAAACCATTTTCAATCCACTGCTGGATAAAGCCCCCCCCCCCCCCCACCCATGCTATGTCAGGCGTAGAGTTGTCTGACCGTACTTCACCATGCTGGTGAGTATGGGTAGGTAATGAAGGGCGCCCAGGACCGGTTTGGATATCGCTCGCGACTTCTGTCAGCCATGGCCACGAATCCCACTCAAGTTGCTGGGTTGGTGGGGCGGCGCGTGCCAACTGCTGCGCGAATGTTCACCACACACGTGGCACGTATCGCAAGCGCACCAGACGACGTAAGCCGACATTCGCCTGGAGTCGTCACTGCATCCCACTTGTGCATATTCAAACAGGGGGCCACAATCCACTACTGATCCAGTTCAAAGCTCCGCACAGATGGATTCACAAAAACCACCTACTGGCTCTCGTCTCCTGGTTACCCCTTGCAGCTCAGCCGAAGGGTTCGAGAGACTTTTCATTTTCAACCTCGGCTTTTCAAACCCACTCTCCGCGACCTGGGTCTCATCCGCCTTCCGATGTCCACGGAGAGCAATGCAATTTGGTGGTGGTCCTCTCGTGATTTGGTGGTCTCGTGATTTGGTGGTGATCTCGTTATTTGGTGGTGGTCTCGTGGTTTGGTGGTGGTCCTCTCGTGATTTGGTGGCCATCTCGTGATTTGGTGGTGGTCCTCTCGTGATTTGGTGGTCGTCTCGTGATTTGGTGGTGATCTCGTGATTTGGTGGTGGTCTCGTGATTTGGTGGTGATCTCGCGATTTGGTGGTGGTCTCGCGATTTGGTGGTGGTCCTCTCGTGATTTGGTGGTGGTCCTCTCGTGATTTGGTGGTGGTCCTCTCGTGATTTGGTGGTGGTCTCGTGATTTAGTGGTGATCTCGTGATTTGGTGGTGGTCCTCTCGTGATTTGGTGGTGGTCCTCTCATGATTTGGTGGTCGTCTCGTGATTTGGTGGTGATCTCGTGATTTGGTGGTGGTCTCGTGATTTGGTGGTGGTCTCGTGGTTTGGTGGTGATCTCGTGATTTGGTGGTGGTCCTCTCGTGATTTGGTGGTGGTCTCGTGATTTGGTGGTGATCTCGCGATTTGGTGGTGGTCTCGTGATTTGGTGGTGATCTCGTGATTTGGTGGTGGTCCTCTCGTGATTTGGTGGTGATCCCGTGATTTGGTGGTGGTCCTCTCGTGATTTGGTGGTCGTCTCGTGATTTGGTGGTGGTCTCGTGATTTGGTGGTGGTCTCGTGATTTGGTGGTGATCTCGTGATTTGGTGGTGGTCTCGTGATTTGGTGGTGGTCCTCTCGTGATTTGGTGGTCGTCTCGTGATTTGGTGGTGGTCTCGTGATTTGGTGGTGGTCTCGTGATTTGGTGGTGGTCTCGTGATTTGGTGGTCGTCACGTGATTTGGTAGTCTCGTGCGCAGGAGTCCGATGGGAGACTTGCGTTTGCAACGCAAACTCGAACGGTACTTGTGCATGCCAATACACGCTCTGTCTCCACGTGCGCTATATTCCATTAAACCCGATTGTAGGGGGGGTGGGGGGATGGGCAAAGCTTTCTTCAATTAACACACCAGCAGGGAACCCTGC